GGTTGTGGTGACATCGATGTCATGTGTGGTTTCGTTGCCGCTGCCGCTCCGCCCCGTTAACGAATGAAAGTCGCACCCTGACCGACGAATCATCGCCTCCGCGCTCTTCACCTAGGTAACGTTTTTCTACACGGTGGTCCACGAATCCACTGTCTGTCCTCGATTCCAACGACGATGTCTCGCATCTCGTCAATGGCGTACAAACGGATTCAACCGTCGATTTCTGACGATTCGAAGCCGCGATCTCAATCGAATTCTCGCCTTTTCGATCGAATATATCGACGAGGGAATTCTTGTCTGCAGGTGTGTCGTTGAGCATTTCCAGACTTTCTTCTTTGGTGTCTTTCGTTTTTAAGCTCTCTGTCTGTCCTGTTTGACGGCCACGCTAAATCTGATTACTCCATAACTCTTGCCCGAAAGAGATTTACCTACTGAGCAGACTTTCTCTGGTGAATGAAATTATCAGCACTTTCTTGCGGCTACGGCAAGGCCTTTAAGGTGATTTGGAAAGGCCCAAAGTTCTTCGAAGGGAAAATTTTCATGCATCCTAGAAAGCTGTCTGTTTGATCGCGATCGATTCATTGGTCGGAGAAAGTTTTCGAGATTTCAGCTGATCTCTGACGGCCTAACCAAGTAGCCCTAGTGGCTACTGGTACTGAATGAGTACTGCTTTCCCACTATTGGATACTGAGCGAGTCTTCCTAGCTGCACCCTGGTTTAGTCGTTCTTGCCGCTACACATCCAAACCCGTAATACACCTCTGGTGGGGCACATATGTCAACGAATTAGCAATTTTTCGGGATATGTGGGGCGGAAGTGGTGTAGTGGCAAGTGGCACGCTTACCACGCGAGCGGTCCGGGGATCAAATCCTGGGTCGTGAGTCGCCCGGGCCAACCAAGCCTTCCATCCCTCCGGGGTCGGTTAATTGGTACCAGACTTGTCTGGGAGGATAAAAACACTGACTTGTACATCGGCTGGCCCCCGCAAGTCATTGTATAGGCCACATCGCATTCAAACGCCACTACGAATGTACAAATGGAAGTAGAATGCGTGCCGCATCCCAAAAAGGGATTGATCAACGGCAAATGCTTTATCCTTTATCTTTATGTAATTTACAAGTCGAGTTGTACCATAAGAAAGTCACGCTTGTTATGGATGCTGATTTATGGGCAAAATACTGTGCCCCTGGTGAAAATCTGACCCGCACCTCGCGCCAAGGATCACACCACTGGGACATCGTTTCACTTTAGCTTAAGGGTACCGACAGGAGGCCCGTCGCGCGGCAACAAGGCAGAGTCAGCGGACGAGTCGCAGCGCGTACTGTAGGATTTCGCGTCAAGTTAAATAGAATGTACCATTGTACGTCCTACATCGCACATGCGCTGCGACTCGTCCGCCGACTCTGCCTTCTTGCCGCGCGACGGGCCTCCTGTCGGGTAAGCTTAGCTTAGGTGTCAAGCGTCAAATCCGAGTCTGAGTTCTTTAATCATAGATGCGAACGGTTCCATAATGGGTTTCACTTAGGCGAGGTGTAATAGGAGAAGAGATCGCTACCACGTACACGGTTCTTTGATTAATGAATGTTCCTGGGATAAACAAGCTTTCCAAGTTCAATTGCGTATTTCTATAAACGGGTGCCGTTGGGCGAAAAGCAGTGAGGGGTTTTTTATTAAAAAGGGCAAATCAGGAAATGTAAATGACTCATTTTCAGTGGCGGGCTATCGCATTGGTTTCGTGCCCGGATGAAGAACTGAATTGGTGCTATACATAGAAAAGTTTGCAATGTTAATCCTAGAATCCAGGGGGATTCGGGAAGTCTGTGAGAGTATTGTAAGAAAAGAAGCCAGTAAAGAGGACTTCTTGTAAAACAGTAGAAAATTCTCAACATTTCTTAGCTGTCGATGAACAAACATCTAAAACAAGTATCTCTGTACCCATTGGATGTGATAGGTGACTCTGCAATTCGGCGAAAAGAGTTTATTATGAGTAAGCATTCCTGTGCACTGAGGGGAGGAATGGTGGTGTGACAAGTGGCCTGCTTTCCGCCGCTTCCCGCACTGGATTCGAATCCCAGACTTTAATCCCTCGTGGCCGGGTACAGCAAGCCCCGACTAAAGGATGGGTCCCCAAAGCTCTGCATCTCCGGACGCAACCCTCTATTCCTAATTGCGAAGACTGCGTAACCGGCTAGAATAGAGACGCAGGACTTTTGAGGACCCATCCTCCGTCGTCAGGGCTTGGACGTGACCTGCCCATGTCGATCATTCGTACAGTACTGTCTGGGTGATACCTGTGTCCAGCGCCCCTCCCTGCCTCCCCCTCCCCGAAGTCATACCGAATCGATTCGCATTTTCTCTACGACTAAGAATGACAGGATGCAGGCGCATCCCAGAAAATAGATTGATTAATGCCGTGTGCTTCCTACACTTTCTGAACAGGACCACTAACAAGGGGGGTCTTTCAGGACATGGAGCGTTTTTTCAAAATGGTTACCGGAATGTTGTAGAGGCTCATGTGAGGAACACAGAACCATGGTTCATTTTTCCTGAACGCCCCGGAATGTCAAAACAGCGGGGAAGAAATGGTCCAAAGTTCGATCCTCCGTGATGACAAATTTTTGCAATTTATGTTGGCGCCTCCAAATTGCCGCAAAACACGACAATGACATCTATTCTCGACGATGGCGCCATTTGGCGGCAATCTGGGGGCGCCAAACTATATTGCAAAAATTAGTCATCACCGGGGATCGAACTCTGGACCATTTCTTCACCACTGTTTTGACATTCCTGGAGGCGTTCAGGAAAAATGGATCATGGTTCTGTGTTCCTCGCATGAGCCCCTACAACATGCAGAAAACCATTTCGAAAAAGCGCTCCATGTCCTGAAAGACCTTCCTTGTAAGCGCGAAAACTCTCAAAAGTTTACTGTATTGAAGGCATTCGAGCATACGACCTCATACGACGAAACAATCAGCGGCTATATGCGACGACAATTTACAAGTAACGGCGAACGCAGTATCCCACTAAGATACGGTAATCGCTTCGCGGCTTTACTTCTTTTGCTGCGGGTTTGTCGCGAGTTCTATGCAAATTTTCAGGCACAAATCCCCATCAAAAGTCCGACGCGGAGCTGTACGCAGTCGAGGAAGAGATGCCCATCAAAGGTTGGTTTTCGTCACTTCTCCTTTGTTTTGAACTACTTTCAACCGGTCTGCACGAGGGCAAAGCTCAAGGAATGTTTAGTATCTGAGGATCGATGCGGATGATTCGCTCTATTATTCATATTCTCATCGCCAAAGTAATGTGCATTACTTATGGATGCGCAGTGCTATGAGTGAGATGGCGTAAACTGCGAACCTAAAGGTCGCTATGATATCAGGAGACCGATCGTTTTCCTTTTTCTCCTACTTAACTCACCCATTTTGAAATTTTGAATTTTCATTTCTATGCCCTTGAATGAACCACTTTCTTTAAAAATGTTGATTGGGGCTCTGAAGGTTCATCCTGCAAAGGATGTCATTCAATGATAATTTTTTGTGCTTTCAAACTTTTGATTTGATATATCCTGATTTTTGCTGGATTTTCAGTCCTCAATGGAGCTCCAGGATATATCAACATTTTGGATGCGTTGAATGGTTGGCAACTAGTCCAAGAGCTCTCAGAGGCGACCGGCTTACCTGCTGCTGCTTCATTCAAGCACGTTTCCCCTGCCGGTAGGTCCTACGTATGAATGATTTCACGTACCCCTGTGGAATACTTTCTTCCGCTTCCAGGAGCAGCTATCGGTCTGCCTCTGAACGAGTCCGAAGCTCAGTCGTGCATGGTCGCCGATTTGCCGCTTGACACCAGGAAGCCGTCGTTGGCGGCGGCTTACGCGAGAGCTAGAGGTGGGCTCTGCTCTTTCTAGTTGATAAGCCTGCCTCTGAGGCCATCTGCGTGAAGTCTCGTGTAGCGATTCGGGATAACAGGGGCGGCGACAAAGACACGCGGTCGGCTAATCCTTGTTCTTCAAACAACCAACTCATTCTATAACGTGGCGGTAATCGAGTGTGTCGAGAGGCTCAGTAGTATTTTCTTTGGAATACGTTGTGAGGCCACGTGGGACCGCTGCCTGGCCTGAAAGTAATCAATCCGCGTTTTATGTCTCAAACGCAATCCAACTTTCCAAACGACACTATGTAACGCCTGGCCGGCGATGATTTGCCTGCTACGGGTCTCGCTCTGCCAAACGAATCCCATCCTAAGGCTTGCTCATTTGGGACACTTGACGGCAATTCGAAACAATCTTCTCAATTAGAATTTAAATTTAGCTCAATCTGTTTTTCAAAAAGTTATAGTGAGCGATCAAATATTTCTTCATTGCAAAATGGTTTCTAAGTTCCATCTAGAGGTTACCGTTTCCAATCAAAGCCAACTAGAAGGCTAACTAATGAGCTGATCTTCAAGGGGAAGAGAAGGTATGAAGAAGCCAGAATGCTTTCTTTTTCATCACTGCTACGTTTGTGTGTTCTCAGTAGCCCCTATGAGGATTAAGTGTGGAAGCAAAGCATGCCAGAGGCATTAGAAGGGCTTAAGAGGCTATTCGAATTCCATCGATTTTCTGAGAAACTCAGCATGTTTTGTTTTCTTATGGTTAGCAACACATATTAAAGTACAAAGCACAAGGAGAGATTACTGTGAGGTCCTCTTGGTGGGTGAATTGTTCGAAGAGTTCCCCTTACAAGGGAGGTCGTTCAGGGTGTGCCAAGCTTTTTCAAAATGGTTTCTTGCATGACATTGGGGCACATGCGGGGACCACAGAAGCATGGTTCATTTTTCCTGAACGGCCCTCTGAATACCAGAAAAGGGGTCCCTAGTTCTTTGATTGAAAAAGTGGTGAAAAAGGTGTGACTAGGGACCCCTTTTCTGGTATTCAGAGGGCCGTTCAGGAAAAATTAACCATGGTTCTGTGGTTCCCGCATGTGCCCCTATGTCATGCAAAAGACCGTTTTGAAAAAGCTTGGCACACCCTGAACGACCTCCCTTGTTAGGGGAAACTCTTCGAATAATTCACCCACCAGGAGGACCTCACAGTAATCTCTCCTTGTGCTTTGTACTTTAATATGTGTTGCTAACCATAACAAAACAAAACATGCTGAGTTTCTCAGAAAATCGATGGAATTCGAATAGCCTCTTAAGCCCTTCTAATGCCACTGGCATGCTTTGCTTCCACACTTAATCCTCATAGGGGCTACTGAGAACACACAAACGTAGCAGTGATGAAAAAGAAAGCATTCTGGCTTCTTCATACCTTCTCTTCCCCTTGAAGATCAGCTCATTAGTTAGCCTTCTAGTTGGCTTTGATTGGAAACGGTAACCTCTAGATGGAACTTAGAAACCATTTTGCAATAAAGAAATATTTGATCGCTCACTATAACTTTTTGAAAAACAGATTGAGCTAAATTTAAATTCTAATTGAGAAGATGGTTTCGAATTGCCGTCAAGTGTCCCAAATGAGCAAGCCTTAGGTAGCAATCCCTGGTAACCTAAGGTCTTTAAAACCGAAA